GGCAGATTGGGGCCCAGAGCAGGAAAGGAATTTACCCAACATTACTCAGCAAATGAGTGGCTGAGGCAGGACTAGAATGCAGATGTTGTCCCACAAAGATTTTACCCCTGACCTGTTGCAGCCCCTATATGTCCACCATTTGAGTGACTTCTTATGGTGTGCCGAAGTCTCCCGTGGACTGGAACATGTTTACCTGGTGCAGGAACAGGGTCACTCTGCATGCCACCATCTGGAGCCCCTCAGACAGCAGGAAATGTCACCTCCCAGGGCGGGTCAGCATCTCCGCAGCCTCCTCTCCTTGAGCCAGGGCATCCCAAAGCCCCGGGAAGGGGAGAGGTGCCAAGGTCATCTCACTCTGCTTGGCCTTGAAAGGACTTAGTGAGTCCCAGGGCCCCACCGGGACCCCCAGATGCCTCCTCCCCCTTCCAGCGTCTCGAGTCTGGCAAAGGCAAGTCCAATTACAGGCTGAAACCTCCCAGATCAAGGGTCGGCCCAGCCCCAGGAGACACCTTGCTCAGGTCTGTTTGGACCTCAGAGGTTCCTCTTTCTCCCCTGCCCAGGTGCCCGCAGGACCCAGTGGCAGGGCAGCTGCTCTCCGACCTCTTTACCAACAGAAAGGAGAACATTACTCTCAAGTTGTCCGAAGACTGTCTTTACCTGAATATCTACACTCCTGCTGACTTGACCAAGAAAAGCAGGCTGCCGGTAAGCCGTGGGGACCCCTGGCCCAGACATGCTGGTTCCACAGCCACGGGGTCTTCCGGTGCAGTGAGACAGACAATAATCACATGCAAATTAGTAAATGAATGATGTGATATGTTAGAAGGTGACAAATGCATTGGAACAGAAAGAAACAGCTGAGCAGGCGAGGGAGGTCAGAAGTAATGATCCTCTTATTCTCTTGTCTTGCCCTTCGGCACCGTTGGGGGCTGTGGGTGGGGAGGCGTGTGGGTGGGGAATGTACCAGCCTGTTGCTCTCATGAGCTCTCAAGGCCCAGGCGTGCTAGCTACCTACTCACGAGCAGAGCAATGGTGGATGTGCCCAATCGCCCAGGCCAAGTTGGGCAAAAGAGCCCAAAGGTTCCAGCTGGCCTCACAGCCGTGCCCAGAGCACCTCAGACACCTGCATGCATCAACCCAGGCATGATTCACCTCCTCAGGTGGGGTGGAGGTGAAGGCAGCTGGGGAGGGGGCAGCACGGCCAGGACTGCTCAGGGGCCCCAGGGTTTGCAGAGAAAACACAGGTTTCCACATGTCAGTTTCCCCTACTGACATGGAACCACTGGGGGAGTTCGTTGTACATCTGTAAGGCACAGCTTAATCGTCCCATATTCTCTCATGCTCACTGAAGGACAAGAGTGATTACTCTTTGTTACTAGATTAAGACTCTGATACCCAGAGCAGTTGAGACAGGATTTC